GACTCGTCTATATAGCCCCTCTGATTTATACAATGTACTGAAGACGTTTTTTGCTGTTTGCAACTTTCAAAGAAGTCGAAATTACAATTTCTTAAGTCGAACTTTGAGTGGTGATGTTATTTCTTTAACCAACTCTAAAACCAGCATCGCCTACTAAACTTCAGCAACCATAAGAGACGTACTCTCGATGATGTGCACAAACGCGGGCGACAAGGTGAGGCATTAACAGACAAAGTGGCGAGTAACTGTGCATATGATTAAGCACGCTATAAATAAGCGTGCAGGGAAAACATTTAGCGGGCAGTTTTTAGATGGGGGCAACTGCTCGCTCGAGAAAATTAGTGTATATCTAATGAAAAGGCACTGTCTGAACTGTTAGTAATATGGGCATGTTTCCCAATTCACCGACTTTAGGTAAGCAAACTTTTCAAATCGTTATAAAAATGTGTTTTATCAAGAGAGACAAACTTTCATGCCTTAACGAAAGAATATACAGTATGAAATGAGGATCGCTTTGAACCTTCAGTAAGAGAGAATAGCTGTAAAAACGGTTTAAAAAAGTATAATGGTGCAAAGTCAAGGTAAAAAAGTATGCCCATATTACCGCGATTTTCCCAATACCAGTATCTTCGACGGATCAATGGTACGCGCAGCCAATCCTGAAGAATGAATAGTTCTCAAAGCTGAACTCAGGTCCACAACATATGACCAAAGTAATGCCTCAGGCAACGGCTCATTAGCATGATCAATGCCTAAAATTTAATGAAACCACATGAAAACCTCCACGTATGAAGAAGTGTACCCGCTGATTCGCGGACTAAATCAGGTTGTTGACATCCAGTGGTCAACTTTGAAAAACCACTAATTCCATTTGGTGACCGACAGCCTGCATCGCTGAAATGTCGGTATTTCAGCGTTTCCGCGCCTCCGTGGTAATCGTACACGATGACCAGTGCTAAAATCAGGAAAGTAATGAGTTGGCCTGTAGCATAGCTTATCAGACACAGAGAAAAGGAAATTAAAAAAAATAAAACGAAAAAATTTTGGTTCGTAAATGGTGACTGATTTAAACAAATTATCTAAAAATTTAATAGCGCACAACAACAGCCAGATTTTTAAACTTGCTTATGTGAGTATAATTTTAGGTATAAAGCACTTTAATGTGAGCACCAAAGTATACACGTTGCGCTGTAACTATAGTTGAGGTAACTGCTAACTCAGATATAAATTAAGAAATATTTAAAGAAATTCTACACTTAAGAAATGCATGAAGTAACAAAACACTCCACAAGTAGCGGATAATGGAAAGTGATAATGCGCTGGTCTGGTCAAATCAAAAAACTGGACAAACACATACAGGTGTGCTTAGAGTGACTCCCTCCTTGGCTATACAATATTTAAACCTGAATCGCTTCTCAACGAATGTTGCCAAATACAAATAACTAATTTGTGCATACGCAAAACCAGATTTTAAAAATTTTAATATTAATAATTTAAGAAAATATCCTAAATAATTAATGGTAAATGATATAGACAACGGCTAATTAAGTAACCAATGGATTTTAATGAAACTCGAATAATTTTGTCAACCACAGCAGTTACTGAATGGTCACCAACGGTGCTCTATGAACCGTTGTTTCATACTTTAGTAGAAGCTTTAAACACTCAACAATATCAATATATCAATAATTCTACCCCAAAGTTTTCGGCTTAAACAGAAGTTAAAAGGATAAATCAGTTAATCAAAACATCCGGAAGACAGACAATATCACTAACGTTCATGATCTTGCGCCAATGCCATAGCGTCCTGAGTCCGGAGCAACCTCAATGGCTGAATTCGCTGCCTTTCAATCGAACAAGAATAACTGCTTGCTCATCCGCTCTAACAGCATTCACAGAACATGTCCAAACCACTGCAATTACATCCCTTGACAAGAGCCCAATTCTAAGGGTTTCCCTGATGGCGATGCTATGAATTCTGTGGGGGCAAAAAATCTGAGTTTCCTAGGAAAGTACACTTCAGCCGCCTGTATTCATGACTGTTTTTCAACTGCTACGTATGATTCATGGCCAAATGGATGAAATTATAT